CTGCCTTCGACTCAGGGATCGAGTCCCGCATCAGGCTCCATGCTCAGCGGGGAGCCTGCTTCTCCCTCTGCCTGACACGCCCCCTGCTCATTCTCTGGTGTGCTCTCTCTCTCTCTGACAAATATATAAATAAATAAATCTTAAAAAAAAAAAAAAGAAAAGAAAACAGATAATAGAGATTAACCAATCTGACAAACAGAAAAAAAATACTGAAGAAAATTGGACAGAGCTTCAGTGAACTGTGGGATAATCAAATGGTCTAACATATGTATAACTGGAGACCCAAAGGGAGAAGAAATTGAGAAAAGGGTTGAAAAGTATTTAAAGATATGATAGCCAAAGTTGCCAAATTTAATGAAAAATATTAGCTTATAGAATAGAGAATCTTAACAAGCCTCAAATTGGATAAATACCAAACAACATCAACACAATAACAAACTATCAATGTCATACTGCTGAAAACTGAAGAGAAAGCAAAACCTCCAAAACAGTGAGAGAACAAAGAAGCATTATCTACAGGGGACAACAGTCTACATTAAAGCTGACTTCTCAATGAAATGATGGAGGCCAAAAAAAAAAGGAAGCACAACTTTCAAGTGCTAAAAGAAAATCTGTGAACTCAATTCAGTATCCAGCAAAAATAATCTTCACAAATGAAGGCAAAATAAAGACAATTCCAAATAAACCAATACAGGATTTGTTGCCTGCAAATCCACACTAAACATGCTAAAGAATATTCTTATAGCTATAGGAAATTAAGACCAGATGGAAACTCAGATCTACAGAAAAGAATAAAGAGCACTAGAAATGGCAAATATATGACTTATTTTTTCTTCGCATAATTTCCCAATGATACAATTGACTCTTTAGATGTAATGCTGTAAGATGGGGGTTCATAATGTATATAAAAGTTAAAAGCTATGACACATACCAAGAAAATGAGGCTTCCTGTCTCCTCACAGGGCACATTAGTGAAGTTCCAATTTTTTTGTTTCATGCACTGAAAACCATGATCTTGACCAACCTTAATAGGGCAAGTCACTTGCCCATGATCACATAGCCAATTGGGACCAAATACCCCAAGCCAAACCTGTTGACTCAGAATACCAAAGAGCAGGTGGGGCAGAGAAAAGGTTTTTATTGGATCCCTCTGACATTCAACACACAATTTCTTGGGCATCCTTGGGCACACAGTCTGGCGCTCATTTAAGATTAGGCCAATCAAAAGAAGCGCATGAATAGAGAAAGACTGTGTAAGCTTGAAAAAGCAAGCCCAGTGGGACAAAGGGTGGTTTCCCAGCAGAGAAAGAAAACAAAGTATGCTAGAAACCCCTCTCGGGTAAAGATGAAAGTCTGGAAGAAAGGCAAGGCCAGGCAGTCTAAACAGCAACCTAGAAAGCCAAGGAAACAGCTTCTTCCCTAGCACCTCAATGACGTCTCCTAATTCCTGACCTGCTGACCATGTCAACTGCACTCAGTACCCTCTGACCTACACAGGGGCCCAGCAGATGTTGTGGCCCTTCCCGGACAGCTCCAGCGAGTGATGAGTTCTGGTTTGCAAAAATGGGATTCCTGTGCACACGGAAAGAAAACAACGTAACTATAAGATACAGGCTCAAGGCGCCATTTCAGAACTGAGAGCTAAACTGGGTGAGTGAACTCTCAGCAGTAGAAAAGGGATGAGTAAGGGAAAGCAACCTCAGATCAGCAAAGCAGCACATTATGTCTGCTTCTTGCTGGGTAGATGAAAAAATCTTCCCTGCCTGAAGCAATAGAGTATCTAGGAATAGAATCCAGCCTGGGGAAAAATGCCTGAAGTGTAGTAAACACCCACCCTCCCACTCCACCATCTACCTATTCTCAACTGTACAAAAAAGCAGACTTTCCTCGGAGGGATGTTGGAAAAGCCCATCTTTGTAGTGAGGTCCAATCCTAAGGCAAAGATCAGCTATGCCTGGCAGCTGCATGAGAAGTTTAAACTAGGTCAGATTTGAAGTTGTTAAGAGAAGCCATCAGTACCCAGTGAGACCAAGTTGCTATAGTTCCCCAGCAACGCCTGTCTGTAGAGGACTTGTACAGGACTCCATAGCCTCCACATGTCCTAGATGAAAGCCACAACCACACCCCTAAACACTATGAAATCCTGTTATACCAAATAGTCCTCCTCACTGTTGTCAGACTTGCCTATGATTCAAAGTGAAGAAGCAAGAAAGCTGCCCTGAGAAAGGTAGGAAAAATGTCTTGATCCTGTTTTTCACTATAACCCTGTTGTGGGGATTCCAAGACTCTGGTCTCTATCCAACCAACATCATTTGTCTACTGTCTAGGTACTGGTCTGGTTACTATGGGATTTCCAAGCAAAGCAAAAACAGAATTCCTAAACTTGAAGTGCTTTAAACTTAAGAAAACTACACATGAAAATAAAACATAAATATAGAATCATAGTCAGATCTGAGTTTTAGGAATTTGGAGATTACTTGATCTAATGGTATTAGATTAAGGATCTGAGCCCCTGGATTACATTCTTGCTGCCTAGTGTGGTCTGAGGACAGAGTCAACATTATCTGGAAGCTTGTTAGAACTGCCGATTGAGCTCCACCCCAGTCATGCTGATTCATAATTTGCATGTTTACAAGACTCCAGGTGATAGGATGGACATTCACACCGGAGACGCACTGTGTTAAATGATCTACCCAGGTATGTGGGTTCAGCAATAGCAGTAACTAATCAAGAATGAAATTTTCTTTCCAAAATAGAATCTGTCCTCTACATTATCAGATGACACTTTCTCTTCGAGTGAAAACAGCTTTATTTACAAACAATGAATGCCAGGGGTTCAGGAAAAAGAGTTGGGAATTTGGTCTTGAAGGAGCTGCAAGATTTAGAAGTCAAGGAAGAGGAGGCAAGGTATTCCAGATGAGGTAGGAAGTGGGATAGACTGGGAGGGAAATATCGTAGGGAAAAAGGAGATAGAGAAGGGAGGCCAGGAGTCTTTTTAGAAAGCAGGGAACCCTCGGGATGCCTGGGTGGCTCAGTTGGTTAAGCATCTGCCTTTGGCTCAGGTCATGTTCTCAAGGTCCTGGGATCGAGTCCCACATTGGGCTCCTTGCTCTGCCTGCAGTTACCCCTGCTTGTGCTCTCTCTGACAAATAAATAAAATCTTAAGAAGAAAAAAATAGGCAGGCAATCCAGATTTTTAGATGGAAACTCCTAGTTATTAAATGCTAAGAACTCTTTCAAATATGAACCATAAGGCTGGCCAAACTAAACATCTGTATGCCACATGTGAACAGCCACACAGTATCCTTGCCTATATGCACAGAAAATCAGCCAGACACAAGACCATTTTTCCTTTGAAAACCTCCCTCACTGAGGCCAGGGAAGTTTACCCAGTGACTAGGCCTCTGAGACTCTGACTTCACTTCCTGCTCTCTTCCCACTGGCCGGTCCTTCTCCAACTCTTCCTCTCACCTACTCCCCTCAGGGAAGCTCAGGCAGTCTCTTATCCTGGAAGTCTTCCTTGTTTTTTCATCTCCAAGGCCCCTGGGATCCCAGCCATCTCCACCCTTGGCATACAGCAAGCATCACTGGACACTTACACATGGACGTCCCTGCATTGTTACTTTGAACCTCCATGGGTGTTAACAGCTAATTTCTTTGTGAATAAGTCATGGGTGGGGCAGAGAGGAACTGTCGATAGAGGGCTCCAAGTAAGACGAGGCACTTCTCCAGAGCCAGGGATGAACTGAATTCACTATGAACAAAGCAGCGGGGCAAAAGAAGGGGATGGATTCGTTTTCCGAAAGCTAAGAAGGAATTTTAGTAAATCCTTTTTTTCTCCCTACTTCAGGCCACGTGGACGTCCTAGAGAAGAACGAAATTTCTGAAAGCCTATCTGAGGAAGGTAAAGAGAAGTGAGAGGGTGGCCGGGTGTAAATACCCTCCCACGACTTCAGTGGAGCTTATTCTCCAGCTTCTAGACTGGGGTGTTCCTGACGGGCACCAACGCAATCCTGTTCTCAACCACAGCCCGGAACAAAGACCCAAAAAGCTAAGCCGACAGCGGCCTCTACCCCGAGCTACGGTCTAAGAGTGAGGTTCCTGTCCCCCAGGAGACAAATGAGAGTTTGCCAAAACTCTGGGGACTCCAACAGAGGAAAAAGGTCTCAGGGTCCCCGCAGTGGATATTTCGGGTCGAGGGCCTGTGCTCAGAATCCGGGTCTACCTCGCACCGGATGGGAGACCTCAGGAAGACTGCTCTGCGTCTCTCAGCTTCGCTCTCTCCATGGGCCTCAACGGAGTTAAAAGGGCACGTGAGCTGGACGAGACCACGCCTTGCCGGTCGCTCAAGGAACACGGGACGAAGGTGTGCCACACTGCAGCTGGAGAACCCCGACCTCACCGCCCCCCTGCCGCTGACCCTTGCCAATCCCAGAAGCCAAACCGAACCTCCCCTTGATGCGTCATTTCCGCCGGTCGGGAGGCGGGCCGGCACCGGATGCGGAAGTCACTGCAGGGGCCACTGGGGAGTGTAGTCTTTGAGGGGGAAGCATTAGAGAAGCGGTCACGGCAGGGCGAGAAGCTTCACCCGAGACCCTGTACATGTTTTGTAAACGTGGTATTAAGAAAAAAAATACCAGGGATCCAGGTGCCACGGTGGTCATTCTCTAATGACCGGGGAACGCTACCCAGAAACGGCTCCCTGGGAGGCCAATGGGAGCTGTGGGCTGTCAGTGCGTGTCTGGTTGCGCGGAGCATCCTGGGAGGTGTGGCCCCGGCGCCACGCCGAGGATGCTGGATAGTGTAGTCCCGGCACCCTACAGAAGTAGGTCTCCAGCTGGTGGCTGGAGTGACCCCTTGTTCTTTAGTGGCGCTGGTGAGTGAGGCTCCCGCGGGACCCTTGCAGCAACTGTGCCCTTCCTGGTGCAGCAAGGTAGGTCTTAAAGGCTGGTCTATGGGCTGAGGCTGGGGACGGTGCAGATGGCGGGGAGAGGAGGTAGTGGTGGGGACACGCTGTCGTGGCTCAGGCCGTGCTCTCCCGGATGTCTTATTTTGGGGGGTGTGGGCGCGCATCTCCGAGGAACGTGGGTGAAGCTCAGCCGCAAAGCACAGTGGTGGTGGGTGCTGGGCTTGGGCCTTTCGTCCAAAGGTTCCTGCGGTTGGGGACAGGTTCGGCCTTGGCCGAAATCCGCGATGTTGAGAGAGGGGGTCGCTCATGTCACAACTCTCCGGGTTTGCGGGGAGTTCAGTAAGTAGCCTTTGGGGGGCTGATATTTCCTAGGTGGTGGCGTGAGAGCCGTCCCTGGGGACATGTGTCCGGAGTTTCGGTGGGAGGATGTTGATCGTCCTTTTTTTGGGTCCAGCTACCCCTCACTTTTGCCGAGGCGAGGCGACAGGCAGGCTGGCTTGGCCAGACGTGCCCGAGTTGCACTGGGTGTGGAGTGGCCATTTTGGCGCGATCCTAGGCTCTCAAATTTGGCTGGTCGCCCCAGGGTTCCGGCCATGGAGGAAGAGGTCGGGTTAGGGTGCACTAGGCAAGTTTTTCAAAGGTCCCAAGGATCCTCACTGACCACAGGAATCACATTCCCACATAGCTGGTGTGAACAGCCTTTGGAATTTGAAGGTCCATTTTAACTTTTTATGATGGAGAAATTTCAAACAGTCAGAAGTAGATAGAACTCCATAGACCCGTTACTCAAATTCAGTGCTTATCACCTTATGACCAATTTTGATTCTTCTCATAATGCACACACTGAGAATCCTTACAACCCACAGAGATTAGCAGTCACTGCCCTTACTGGTTAAGAATATGGCCTCTACAGCCAGATCTCATCCAGGCTCAGTCATTTCGTAGCTGTGCCATCTTGGGCAAGAGACTGACCTCTCTGTGTCTCAATTTTCTCCTCTGTAAAATGAAGATAAGAAATAGTACTTCACTGGGTGAGGAGAATCGGTGAAACTCCTACAGTACCTGGAACAGTCACTGGTATATACTCAGTGCCCAATAAGTACTATTAAGAACAAAGGTGAGGGAGGATCAGCTCAGCTCATATTCAGTGTCAGCAGCGTGTCAGGGCAGGCTGTGTTCCCAGCAAGCTGCCCACAGTCTTTTCTTCAGGGATAGGCCCATTCCTTTGAGGAGGAGGAGGCCCTACCCTACTGGAGCCGAGGGTTTCCAGTTACTCTTCTGAACCTTTTTTGTTCTTGATCTGCCCCCTGCAGCCCCTGCCTGCCCAGAGAGGACTGCCCGGTGGGCAAAGAGAGGACTCCCGGGCTCCTGACAGTCCAGCTTCAGGTGGGGACCCCTTCCCATTTGCATGCCGGACCTCGGTGGGTTTCCTTTGCTCAACTTTGACATCTTGTGCCCTACAGTGTCCCATTCGCAGGAAAACAAGGTGACAGTTTTCACAGGGACTATTCTTCAGACCTTGTGTCCTCATTCGTGACCCTTTGATTTCTCCATGCCTCTCTGCTTCAGTATAAACTCTGTTGATTGAGCTCAGATGCAGTCCCACTGGAAAGCATTCCTGGATTTCCCCCAGGGAATACTTCCAGTGTGTCCTTGTCAGCAGCAGAACATGCGACACTGTCAGGACTCTTGGGCTCTCAGGCTGCATTGTGACTGTCCAGCTGTCCCTCTGGATTGGGTACCTCATCCTTTTTCTCTTGAGTCACTGGCACCTGGTTAGGCTAAGCGGGTGATGTAGTTTGAAGACTCGCGTTGTCATCCTCGCTGGCTGGAAGGGACGTTCACGCTGGCCGGGCGGGGCGGGGGGTGTTATTGGAAAGGCGTGGGTTGGTCATTGTTGGAATGAGCCCTAAATGACAGGTTAGTGAGTGTGGCCTGGATCTGAGGGCAGGGGGGAACCTAGAGCAGTGACATGATTGCCCCCTCCAGCTATGGCTGTATGTCTTTCCTTTCTGTTAGAGCTAAACTTGAAAGACTTGTCCCTGCTGCTACCTCCATGTCTATCCTTCCTTCATCTCTTAAATATTCCAATGAGGCCTAGTCAGCTCTACCCACTGAAAAACATTCTCATGGAGGTTGTGCATCTCGTGGCTAATGGCCACAGTCAGTTCTCAGCGACATTTTACATTGTTGCATCGTACTTCCCTCTTAAAATATCCTTTCACATGGTGGCTCCTGGTTTCCAGGTTTTCCTTTTACCTCATAGGCCGCTCCTCCTGTCCCTCTTCCCAGCTTTTCTTCTCCCAAACCCCCACTGTTCTTGGACTTTTCATCTTCTCCAGCCACACTGTCTCCATGGTGGCCCCATCTCCTCTCAAGGCCTTCAATGCCATCTCTCTGAGGTTCAGCCTAGGCCTGTGCCTTTCAGCCCAGATTCCAGTCTCCTGCTGTCTACTTCAGATTTTCTCTCGGATATGTCTTCAGCATCTCAAACCTAATGTGTCCAACAACAAACTCTGATTACCTCCCCAAACATGCTCTACCCCAAGAGAATATAGACCACTCTTTCAGGGACTTTAGCTCTAATAGGGAGCAGAGACATGACATCTTCCTTCAGATTGCTCAGTGTCAAAACCTTGGCCTTTTTATACTCCATCCCTACTAAGCAAATCTGGACTCACACACACAATCTCCAACCTCTGCTGCTTCCACCGTGGCCCAAACCACCACTATTTCACCTGGCTCACCTGGATAATCATATCTCTTGAATGATCTCTTTGCATCTTCCCTCATCCCCCCTAAAGTGTATTAGTAAGTACAGCAACCAGAGGGATCTTTTCAAATGTCAATCAAATCATGTCATGCATTTGCTCAAAACCTTCTAGTGGCTTCTTATCTCAGTCAAAGTCAGAATCAGTATCCTACAAAGTGGGGTATGATCTCCCCCCATGTTTACACTTGAACTTTCTCTTTCCTACTCAGTCTCAAGCACAGCACACCAGCCACAGTGAACTCTGTACCTTGACCATGCCCTGGCTCTTGCCTGTGTTGCTCAGCATACCAGCCCCAGTGAACTGGCTCTTTTCAGACCTACCCACTTGGCTCACTCCTTCACATGCTTTAGATGTTTACTCTGTCACCTTTTCAGAGGGGCCATGCCTAACCACTATTTAAAATTCCAAGCCCCACCCCATTAAAAATAAATAAATAAATAAATAAATAAATAAATAAATAAAATTCCAAAACCCCACCCTGCTTCTGTTACTTTTCTCCTTCCCTGCTATATTGGTCTTCATCTCACGCATCACTTCCTGATGTACTGTGTGTTTTACTCATTAATTTAGAATGCCCATCTTCCTCCTCTGGACTTTTGTGTCAGTGAGGGCAGGTGTTTTTTTTCTTTGTTCACTTTTATATCCCCAGTGTCTAAAATAGTGCCTATCATACAGTAAAAGCTTAATATTTTACTGAATGAGTGAATGATCCAACTGTATGTACGTAGAGCTGATTCTGGGAGGAAGGGATGAGGCTGACTGGAATGCTGGGAGAGGGTCTGCAGACCCTACCAGGAGGGACTATGGCCATTGTCCTCCTTCCCCAGCAGGTATGGGAGTGGGGAGAAATTGAGAGAGTTTTCAGAGGTAGAATCAGTCAGCCTTGGTAATGGGCTTTCTATGGCAAGTGGGGAAGTAGTCCTGGTGTCTGAGTAAGGCACATGGGCGAGAGGGAAGGTGCTTCTGTCATTAAGAAAGTTGAGGAGGGAGAAGGCATGGCATGTCTGGAAGTGTTCTGATTATTGATTGCTGCACAACAAACCACCCCAAAACTTAGTGGCTCAGAAGAATCAGCATGTTATAATTTCTCACAATTCTTTGGGTTTACTGGGATCAGCTTTGTGGTTCTTCTGCTCTGTGTGAGTTACAGACCTGGCTGTGGCCACAGTCCCTTGGGGACTTGTTTGGGTTGAAACATCAGAGATGGTTCCTTCATATATTGGGCCCTTTCTGGGTTGGCTAGAAGGCTGGGGTCAGCTGGACAGCTGGGCCTCACTCTGTCCACGTAGTATCAGGGCCTCTGTCTCTGCATGGTCTGTCCGGCAGAGGAGTTGAACCTCTTACATGGTATTTGGGCCTCCGTAGAACATAAGCTCTCTAGCCTTAAGACATAAACCTGTAACTGGCACAGTGTCACTTGGGCCGCGTTTACTGGGTAAAGCAGGAACAAGGCCAACCCAAAGGAGCTCCCAGTGTTTGAAGCTGGAATGATTTGAGCAGCCAAATAGTGATGATATTCTATTATAACCCATGGGATAAGATATGAATCCATACTGATATAAAGAATTGAATAAATTTAAAAAATGGGGGAGAAGGGACAGCTCTTGCTTACAGAATAATTAATGAATTTAAAATTAAAAAGGGAAATAGACCCTCATCATTTGGTAAATACCACAGTAATAACTACCGTGGACACATCCCACAAATGCATGCTAACATTAGTGAGTGGACATTTGAAGAGAAACAGGGTATTTGTATAATCTCAAAGTATCTCTCCCAAGATATTTATTATAAAACCCCAGCAGACATCGCCTTAACCAAGTGATCAAGATCAAGGTTAATATCATCAGTAATAGACACATCAGTATCATCAACTCCTTGATGCAGTACACTGAAAAGGACATGACATCACTTCTGAGATAATCTAGCCAAAAATGAACTAACCTCCTTCTGATCGTGAAAAAAACATCTGACAAACACAAAATTGAGGGATATTCTTCAAAAGTGTCAAGTTCACGAAAGACAAGAAAAGACAGGAACTGTCACAGATTGGAGGAAATTAAACATACCTGGCAACTAAATACAATATGGGAACTTCATCTGAATCCTGGACCAGAAAAAGGACACTAGTGGAAAAACCGACAAATTTGATTAAGGACTATGATTTAGTCAATACCAATTTCCTGGTTTTGATCATTGTACTATGGTTTTCTAAGATGTTAACATTAGAGAAAGCTGGGTGAAGGTTATATGAGAATTGATATTTTTGCAACTTCTCTATAAGACTAAAATTAGTTCAAAATAAAAAGTTCTAAAAATCCATCAATCTTATGTTCTTGAGTTTTTTTTTTTTAAGTAAGGAGTGGGTGTTGAGTTTTGTTAAAGAATATTTCAGCATGCATAAAAACACTTGGTTTTTCCCTTAGATCTGTTGATTAATATGGTATATTATAGTAATGGATTTCCTAATACTGCACCAATCTTGAATTTCTGGGAATCCCACTTTGTCTTGGTGAAATATTTTCTTATTGTCATGGTGGAGTCTCTTAGCTGATATTTCTAGAA